TGAATAGATTTTTGTGCCTGGCCTAGTAAGTTTTCCTCACTATTTTGTAAGGCTGTCTGAGGACTGATTAGACACAGTGAAAGTGAAGAGTGCTAAGTATAGGCAACAGATCAGAACCCATGATTAAACTGTAAAAGCTTAACAAAATTCTAACAATGCTAAACAGTTAAGTATTTGATACAATTGGGAGAGGGGAGAAAAAGAGTATTGATTCAATGAATGGAGACTGAACCCTAATACTACTTCATGCAAAAGTTGGACCTAGTACCACTATACAGTACCCACTGTATGCTAGTACCATTTTATTATTCTGGTCCCTGCACCATCTCAGACCAATTTTCTGTTTTCAGACATGTCTGATATTTCAAGGAAGCAGTGTAGGTGTTTCCTTCGTGACAGCTGCAGTCTGCTCTTGCAACAGCACTGCCTGTCAAACTAAAACAGTGGGTCTCAGTTGGTTCTATTTTCATTCCATTAATGCCCTCATTTCCAAGACACAGGAGGTGTCTGTTTACCCTTGTCTTATTTATTTTCCATAAATTAGTTCCCAGAGTTAGTTGTTGGACATTTCATTCATTTTTCACTCCTCGGGGATGCCTGACAACCAAATTAAGTCTTTGGTAATGAGCTTACCCTAAATAAACTGAAAAAGAGTTTGTCTAGCTGGAAACACACATTAGACCAGGGGTTGGCAACGTTTGGCACGCGGCTCGCCAGGGTAAGCACCCTGGCGGGCCGGGCAAGTTTATTTACCTGCTGACGCGGCAGGTTCGGCCGATCGCGGCGCCCACTTGCCGCGGTTCGCCGTCCCGGGCCAATGAGGGCGGTGGGAAGCGGCGCAGGCCGAGGGATGTGCTGGCCGCGGCTTCCCGCCGCCCCCATTGGCCCGGGACAGCGAACCGCGGCCAGTGGGGGCCGCGATCGGCCGAACCTGCCACGTCAGCAGGTAAATAAACTGGCCCGGCCCGCCAGGGTGCTTACCCTGGCGAGCCGCGTGCCAAACATTGCCGACCCCTGCACTAGACTCAATAATGGTTGATTCATAAACTCCCTAACACATCTGAATCCTCTCCAGAGAGGTTGCTACAAGACACCTTCATGACCCAATTAAGTGTGCCCTGTTTCAGGAACAATGATTCCAGCAATGAATGGTACAGATTTTAATATATTCCTTTAAACAGAAGTTCAGGGGAAAAGGCAACAGATGAGTGAGTCAACCTAGAAGTATAAATGGGTGATTGGTCCAGTCACACTGCAATTCAAAATTCACTGTACTGTCTCTCACCCTTTTGTACTGAACTGTCCCAGACTTCCAAATTACGTAAAAGTTTTTTTCCTATGACTGCACTTCACTGATTGTGTTAGTATCACTTTTAGACAGATTAACAACCAGTATTTCTAAACCATGTATACCAAGCTAGTTCATATTATAAATGGTAACTTTTTAAAAAAAAAGTTACATGCACACGCAAGTTTAAATTTGTAAATGGGTAGTATTTTGCTGTGGGCCCTAATTTATTTTAAACCTCTGTTTAGCAGCATACAAATGTCAGATTTCAGCAGTCTTCTCTTGTTCTACAAATTTTAAACTGTTAATGTCTCAGACTGAATAAAAAAAGCACATTAAAACAGATTTGAGAGAGAACCTTCTTGCATCTCAATCAAAGAGCTCCACGTGAAAAGGGACGTTACCAAAGCTTTATACGGAATCTAATAAAAATAAGAGCTTATATAAGTCCCTCACATATGAACATGCATACACAGTATAAATTACTTTTCAACGTAAGGCTTGCCCTGTTTAAACTGGAGAAATTTTTTATTTTAATTAGAAAATGAGCTAAATCATTCTCTCAGCACATGTATACAAACTAAGAGCTAAGACTAAACAAAAGTACAAATGGGCATATATAAGATACTGACTTCCAAATGCATTTGAGCTACACACCCCTGCTCCTTACACCATTAACAAGTCTTTGCCTTGGTAATATGCACACATGCACCTGCCTCTTCCCCCCATGTACAGTCTATCCAGAAAGGCTGTGCATCCTCTTGCTCTTTGGGAAATTCCTAAGCCTAAAACATTGTAAGGGACAACTCTGACCTAGGGCACTCATCTCTCCAGCCTGCACAAAATACCGTCTGGATGTGCATTGCTGTGGCAGCAGTGCACTGTAGTATCTCACAATATACCCAGGTTTGGGGGGTGAATCTGACTCCTGCCACCTAGCTTGATTGAGATCATGTGGGTTGGGCAAATGATACTGTTTTTCCTTCTGTCAACACATTTTGGAATTAGGAAAACATTTTAAAATGTATGAGATAGAAAAACTATTTCCCTGTAGAAAGACTCAAATAAGTGCTGTTCAAAAGTTTCAACGGCACTAGGACCATTTCTTCATCAGGGTGTTGGTGCTTAAGGAAAGATCCCACTCAAGGTCACTTATAATAAGTAAAAATGAGAGACTGGATGGTACAGTTTCTACTTGCCCTTTTACTAATCTGCCACTTGGAATCTACTCCAACCGTTTCTTGTGCACTGGCCAGTAATTACACCAACAAATGACAGTACTATTTCACTTCTCTTTAACATGGCTCTAGCTAAGAACCAGCCCATTCCACAGGAGCAAGCCTCACCCCTCAGTGGAAGTCAACAAGGGGAAATCATTGTCTTCCTCCACCTTGAGCTCACCTGGGTTAAGCCACAGGAGGGAGCACTGTGGCTCTGTATATTTAATATAAACAAATACAACAACAAGAGCCTACACATTAAAGGGTACTAAGTATTATAATGGTGCTGTTTAAAGAGAGAGATTTTTCTACTAGGGAGAACAACACTAATGGTTCTAGTTACATTTGATGAAGGAGCATCTGTCTCATCAAAGGACATGAAACAACATCAACTCTTCCGCTAGTAAGTACACATGGTATTCTGGAAGGATGATGCTTATGTATCTCATCTTCTAGGCCATTTACAGTGGACAAGATATTAAGATTTAGAAAGAGTGCTTGAGTGAAGGAAACGTATCTTTTGGATCTACAGGCAGCTGTTTATTCATCTAGCCAGAACGATTATAAGCATAAAACTGTCGTTAAAAGGGGAAGTCAGAGATCAGCTTCTCCAAAGCTGCATTGGTCCAAACGATGTAGGTTTCCCCAAGGCAGATGCTATGTCGTCAGAGAGAGGCTACCAACTTATGAAAGCCATAATTCTGATCTCATGCTTGACTTCATTGGTGTTACTCCTGTATCACCCTGGTGTAATTGAGATCAGAATCTGGCTCAATGTGTATTAAAAATAATGCCTGGGTATCACCTGGAAACTGAATAAATCAGAGAAGGATAACACTAAACTGTGCTTTAACTATTCACAACATCAATTTATAGAAGCCATGCTTAAGAGAGTTCATTAATTCCAATATACAAAAAAAATACACTCTCTGTAGTTGGGAAATTTATGCCAGAGGTGCATCTCCCTATTTATATTTTTTGATCTCTACACTAATTATTTTCCTCTTGGCATAAGTGCATAATTCTTACATAATTTACTTTAAATTGCACATTGCATTTAGGGCAGAATAGGCCTCACTCATTGTAATTGTTTCTCATAGTTCTGGAATTAGGCCAAATTCCATCTTCATTGTTCAGCCCTCCCCTACAGATTGGTGCTCACACATGATGAGTGGTGTTTAAATTCTGTGGAGTGAAAGATATACGTTCACCAACTGAAAGAGATATGGATACGGAAGAGAGAGGAGAGGGGGAAAAAGAGCTTCTGAATCTTTACTTTTGTTTTTTATCAAGAGGCATAGCCTATTGCATCAGGCAGCCTGTGCTAGGCAGGAAATCCTGTAAATAGGTGGCTACAGCTTTCGTTAAGTATGTCATAGTTCCATATGCCCCACTTGGAGCACTGTCATAGAAAAAGTGGCAAATTCCTGTGGCGAGGTCTCGCTCCAAGAAGTCATCATTTCCTCCAAGTGATTTCTGAGAGGGGGAAAATAAAAAGGAGGGGAGGAGAAAAATCAGATATCCACGTTCAGATCAGAATTACTAAGCTTAAAAATAAATCCTAGACTAGGACTACTGTTGTATCTGCACTGAATATGGAAAACAGTTCTCCCTTCACGAATTCCTTTCCAAAGACTGTAGGACAACATAGGTTATTTAGAACCTTTTTCTCTACCTATGCTAATTCAGTTCTCTTAACTTCCCCTTTATGGACTTTATTTTTTGCATTTCTCTGGTAACACACAACTAGCTATTTTTTCCATCTCTACTTAAACAGTGTCCCTTTGGTTTTTAGTATTCTGGTGATGTAGAAAGTGATTTTTAAACAGATATTTAGACTTGAGAACATTCCCCTGCTATAACTGTAAAACTGCACCAAAAGAGACTGTGTTTCGTTAATTGCAGGAGTTTTTAATCTTCTGAATACATTTTCAAAAGATGCTTACATGACTTGCTTTTTGAGGAAGGAATTTTTTTCCCCACAAATACCAAAAATGGAGTTAGACAGTTTCAAATGCAATACCTTCCCAATCTCACCCTCAGATATTACTGGAAATCTGCTGTACCCACCTGTTCCTGAAGAAATAGATCGTTAGCCACGTGCACTATTCGATCCACATGGATTATGCCCCCAATGCTGGTCACCTCTATGTCCGACAGCAGTGTGAGAACAAGAATAGCTTCCACCAGCAGCTGTCTGTATTCAGGCTGGGGTACATGGTTCAGCACTGACTCCACATGCACAGCAAACTTGATTTCACAAGGGGTCATCTGGAAAGTTAGGGGATAGGTTAGTGGAAAGTAGGACTGTTGATTAACCACAGTTAACTCATGCAATTAACTCAAAAAATTAATCGCGATTAAAAGAATTAATCGTGATTAATTGCAGGTTTAATTGCACTGTTAAACAATAGCATACCAATTGAAATTTATTAAATATTTTGGATGTTTTTCTTCATTTTCATATACATTGTATTCTGTGTTGTAATTGAAATCAAAGTGTATATTATTTTGATTACAAATATTTGCACTGTAAAAATTATAAACAAAAAAAGAATATTTTTCAGTTCACCTCATACAAGTACTGTAGTGTGATCTCTATTGTGAAAGTGTAACTTACAAATGTAGATTTTTTTGGTTATATAACTGCACTCAAAAACAAAACAGTGCAAAACTTTAGAGCTTACAAGTCCACTCAATCCTACTTCTTATTCAGCCAATTACTAAGACAAACAAGTTTGTTTACATTTACAGGAGATAAATGTAAACAAACACTTCTTATTTATAATGTCACCTAAAAGTGAGAACAGGCATTTGCATGGCACTTTTGTAACTGGCATTGCAAGGTATTTACGTGCCAGATATGCTAAACATTCGTATGACCCTTCATGCTTCAGCTAGCATTCCAGAGGACATGCTGATGACGCTTGTTAAAAAAATAATGCGTTAATTAAATTTGTGATTGAACTCCTTGGCAGAGGAGTCCCCTGCTCTGTTCTACCTGCATTCTGCCATATATTTCATGTTACAGCAGTCTAGGATGATGACCCAGCACATGTTCATTTTAAGAACACTTTCACTGCAGATTTCACAAAATGCAAAGAAAGTATCTGTGACACTCTGTACCTTGGGGGAACACCCTACACCCCCATGTTCATCTTTATAAAATGATTGTGTGGTATCCAATGCAAAGTTTATCATGTTGGGTGTCTTCCGAAGGCTCATGATGCACTGAGCATGGCTGTTATAGTGATGTTATAGTAATTGTTACAGTAATGTTATAGTAAGGTTATAGGTTACAATTTCATGTATATAGTTAAGAGGCTGAAAATGAATCCTCATGGCTTAGAGCAAGCCCAGGCAAAAACTTTCCAAGAGCAGAGAGGCAGTTCACATCTCATCAGGGCAGGTATGGAACAAACCCAGCCCAGCCTCACAGGAACAAAGGGCGCTGGTCTAGGCAGCAACAAAAGGATCTGTTGGACTCTCGAGTGAGTCACCCCCCTTCCTTTGGTCAGTTTGGAACTGCGATGAGGTAATGCTCACCTGACTCTGAAGGGATGCGGGGGGAGGGGGGCAAAGCCAAGAAGGAAGAAAGGACAAGATAAAAGGGAGAGACGTTTGCCATGTTCTCTCTCTCTTCCACCTACATCTACAGACACCACACCAAGCGACTGAAGCGCTGATCAAAGGGGAGAACCTGGCTGAAGAGCAACCAGCCAGCCTGTGATGAGAAGCATCTAAGTTTGTAAGGGCATTGAAAGTGTTAAGATCAGCTTAGAATGCATTTTGCTTTTATTTCATTTGACCAAATCTGACTTATGTTTTGACTTATAATCACTTAAAATTTATCTTTTGTAGTTAATAAATCTGTTTGCTTATTCTACCTGAAGCAGTGCGTTTGGTTTGAAGCGTGTCAGAGACTCCCTTTGGGATAACAAGCCTGGTACATATCCATTTCTTTGTTAAATTGACGAACTCATATAAGCTTGCAGCGTCCAGCGGGCATAACTGGACACTGCAAGACGGAGGTTCCTAGGGTTGTGTCTGGGGCCGGAGATATTGGCTAGTGTCATTTGGTTGCAAGTAGCTGGGAGCAGCTTACATGCCAGAGGCTGTGCGTGAACAGCCCAGGAGTGGGAGTTCTCACAGCAGAGCAGGGTAAGGCTGGCTCCCAGAGTCAGCAATCAAAAAAAAATTCTGTAACTTCCAGAAAAGTCTGTTACACTATTACTATCTGTCAACACACATTGCTTACATATGGGAACGTTGATGCTTATTATCTTGCAAATTCATTCTTTGATCACAATATTAACCTCACATTATTTTGTGTAGGCATCTTTTTGGATCACAGGTTTTGTTTATGAAGCCAAAGATACTGTAGAGATTAAAAAAAAAAAAAACCCACATCACCGGCTAAGAGTGAATGTTATCCCAAAGATTGATATCTACATTGCTGCTAGAACAAACAACTTTGCATGGGCAGAGCTGTGCAGATGTCACATGAAATGATAGTCTCAGGAAGTTATGCTTATTTAGTTTGATTCCTATTAACAGTGAAATTAGATACGGTCAAGGTCAGACAGGTCTAAAAATGAATCCTCTTTTTTGTAACTAGCCTGATGTTGGAGGAGGATGTGGGGAGGAGGGGAAACTTATCACTTCCACAAAATAAGGACTGCAATACCACAGAAAATTTCATCTTCTTTTGCAGCTGTTACCAGCACCATAACATAGAGTGATGCCTATGTTTCAAACAGGGATATGCACACTGAGCTGTGCCTCCATTCTGCTTGTCTGCTCTATTTGTATGAGCAGACAGGGGTCTGCATTACATAGGAATTCAGTAGGATTGTTGTGAATTTCAATACTCTACATACTTACAAGAGTGAGGCAGATAGGCAGGATAGCATCGTTTGCATGTATAATACATCTGTAAACTTAAAGCCAGACTGTCTAATTTTAGGCCTACCAATCCTAACCGTATCCTGTTAATTCTGAAAACAGATTTGAAGGCGAGTGAATGCTGTCCAAGTGTTTTAACCAATTAAATGGCAATAAAGCTTACAAGTCAGAATATGCAACTCAACTGCTAGAAGAGGGCCTCATCCTCCCTGATTGAACTAACCTCATTATCTCTAGCCTGACTCACGCTTGCTTGCATATTTATCCCTGCCTCTGGAAATTTCCACTACATGCATCCGACGAAGTGGGTATTCACCAACGAAAGCTCATGCTCCAATACGTCTGTTAGTCTATAAGGTGAGACAGGACTCTTTGCTGCTTTTACAGATCCAGACTAACACGGCTACCCCTCTGATACAAGTCAGAATATGAGAATCATGCAGTATTACACTATACAAGGCAGACATTATGCTTTTACAAGGGATGGTATTCATTTTAATCAAACAGCAATATTACACTGATATTCATTAATATATACCCATGAGTGAGGTGCCACCTTATAAGTGGTATGGGTGACAGTCACACCATAAGAGGTACTGTCATCGGCATACATGAAATTGTTAAAACACATGGCTTGCTGTACCAAAAGATTTTGCATTTCACAAGTGTAATGCCGCCTGTGCAAATTGCACAATTGAATCAACCGTAGCATTTAAGAGCAAGAAAAAAAGGTTTTTTATCATAGTGAACAAAGAGCTGCCGGGAAACTGCTGGAGGAGCAGGTAAGGTCTGCTCCTGCGGTGAAGAAAAACCATCAGTTCTGGAAACAAAGCAGCCCTGGTGGTAAACAGCTATCCAAGGAAAGACAATTTTGGGATCAAAGATCCCTGAGAGTGGAAGCAGGAATGGAGCATTGTAGGGTTTTGGTTGGGGGTGGGGTGAAATTCACATGCTTCTCTTTTCCTGGAGGGAACATACTCAAATATCTTCAATTGACAAGAATGATTACAGTTTGCAATCTGTGAAACAGTTACTCTCCAGATGCTGAGAAACAGGCAAGTGGAAAGGTTTAGAGACAATAATTTAACCTACTCACTCTACAGCTCGGTAGCCTTATAACTTGGTTCCGTTTTATTGGCTCAGAGCATCATTACACTATATCATACTGCGTCAAGGTCCTAACATGCAAGATTGTTTGTGGTTCAGGTGGTGGCAGAGGTGGTAGGTGGGTCTCTTCAAAGTCTAGGATCGTGAATGAAAGGGAAAACTAAAATAAAACATCTATGTGTAGCATAAATGATCTACATTGACAAGGGAATCACTTGGAATCACTGAGTCCTATTGATGGATAGTTGCAACACACAAAGGAAGCAAGACTCTAGCACTTGCTCTCTCAGATTGAAACAGCTCAAAAAAATTATATGAAGAAAGAACAAAGGTTTAAAAAGGCAAAATTTGGGTCAGCCACATGTCTGTGATTCGTATTTGTTTTTATAACCACAGTGCTGGAATACTGTCTGCAGTCACAGAATTCTAAACAGGTATTTGTCTTTGTTTAATTTCAGCAAATTGTTTAATTTTCCTAACTCGGCTTCTATTCCCTTTTGTATTTGCCACCCTCTGTTTTAATACTTAAACAGAACTGAGTAAACTTTAACCTCTCTTTAGTAAAAAATTAATACTTGAACAGGGAAAATTAAGAGAAAAAGACTGACTGCACATTAGCCACCAAAAAAATGTTATGTTATTGCTATTTTCTAGGAAAATTGCATCCAGAGGTCAAGGATGGGAAATCTTGCTTCTAAATTCAGAATGTGCCATCAAGATTAATGATCAACTCACTGCAGGTGCAGAGCTCTGATACTTCATTGCCTGTGGTTAAAAATAACTTCATTTTCTTAAATGCACAGAGGGAAAAGGATATAAGTTAAAAGTGATGTTGAATAAGTGAATGAGGCTCACATTATGGTACATCATAGAAATTATACTAACACATGCAAACCTCAGATGTTCTAAATATAATCTTATGTTGTCGTGGGAAAGCCTAGTATTTTCAAGACTTGCATCTGTGAACATCATGGATCTCAGATTAAAATTTGCCCTACAGCATCCGTCACTCATACATTCAGCAGAACTATTAGTTAAGATTCAAACTGTAAAACTTCCATTGTAAGCTTAGATTTTAAATGTTTTAAAACAAAGCGTTTTCTCCAATGATCCTGTTACATCGTGTGCTTGAGAGTCATACAACTTATCATAAAATCGTGGAAAGACCCCATTAATATTATTATTTACTATACCTCTCTTGTAGTTGAAGAAGGAAGGACATAGCCATCAATGGACAGGCCATGGCACTAAAAAAAAATTTTTAAAAAATCAGTGATGATTAAAAACACAATCCTTAAAAGTATATCTGGAATCTTGTATTCCTTTTGAGTTTTAAATTCTTCCTGGAAAAGCTGTTCTGATGTCTGACAAGTTTTAAAAACAGTGAACCCATAGAAAATGTTATTTCATTTGTCCCAAAAAGTTCATCAGATGACAAGAAAACTATTGGAGAGAAAGACTGGATGCTATAAATAACCCTATGCCACACTTAAGCTGAAACACAACTGTTCAGTGGGAGGGAGGTACTTGGAAAGCAGTAACAGCAGGAGACATCTAAAGGTGAAAGTACAGCAAATTAGATATGAGCTTGCAATATGAAAGGACAATTAGAGGAGGGTAAAAAAACTATAAACCCACCAACAGAGAAGCATTGCTATGGACCAGGAAAGTGAAGATCCCTCTCTCTTGCTCTAGGGTCAAACACCACTTAGTTTAGGATATATGACTTGGAGCACCAGAATAGAATATCAGTAAATGAAAAGTGCCATTCAAAATGGGCAACAAAAACTACAGAGGAGCTAGACAAATTGGCATATGAGGAAAGAGTTTAAAAAAAACTAAATACATGTAGCTTGGCTAAGGCATGACCAGGGCATGATGGTCATCTAGGCATCTGAAGTCTGAAAATACCAAGGAGGGAGAGGTATTAAGAATTGTCCAAAGGGATTTTAAGAATAACTGGATGATAATGAGCAAAGGAAAATATAGGCTGAATTTGACTAAATAAAATTCTATTTGATTCTCCAAAACAAACAAACAAACAAACAAACAAAACAAACCCAAAAACCACCTTACATGTACAGTAGTTCAGGAAAGTGAGCTAATTAAAATCAAAATGATGGTGGAAGCCTAATATTGTTGAATCCGCAATTTCCACCATATTGCAAATTAAGTATGACCTCAGTCATTTTACAATTGTAGTTTGCTATCTTTTAAATGTTTTTCCTTTCCATGGTCGCTGTGTAGAAGTCACTCAAACAACAAGGGAAACTGACCGACTATTCATGGGAAACTGTGACACTGATTATAAAAAATGCTGTCATCCATAAGGAAAACTTGAACAGTTTTTCCTCTGATCTGTCAGTTTTAGTTACTTTAGGTATTATTTGTAAAAATGGTACATTTCAGACAAAGGCAATTTAAGTTGGCAGTGTCCCTTTAATAACCTAGTGGATGAATTCACAAAAGACTTGTGTCTTTGCTGGCATCAGTTAAGCCTGTATTTTAGAGTGTTGCTTTGAATTGCACAACTGTGAGCTATCTAGACTCATGGCATATATTCCTACCTCCACTTTAGTACTCAATACGGCTCAATGCTGCTGGGTGCTGAACACTCTGGCCCTAATCCAGCAATACACAAAAGCAAGTGAATAATCTCATTGAAGTCAACTGGAATTCATGTTCCCCTGTTTCTTAAATCATTCTCAAGTTCAGCTACTGCACCATATTACTAAACTCAGGAGCAACTGCAGGGATTATTTTCAGTGACAGTAGAGCAAACTAAAAATTGGTTTTAAAAATAGTATAGCCCTTATGAAATCTAGCAGTAGAACTCAGACATTTTAAAGAAACATAGCTACCTATTTAACCCTTCCTATTCTACCGTCTTATCTTCTTGAATTGAGGATGTGCAGATTGTGAGCCCTTCAGTGTTAATGACCATGACCTGTTTAAGATGGGGAACAATGTGAAACTGTAGAATTTAATCATTCATTTGCAGTTTAGTGCTGGTTTTCAGAGGAAATACATTGACAAACTGATTCATGAGCACATGTGAATGGAGCTCTTGTGTATTAGTCAGACATATTCCACGAAGTATTATAGTTTTTCCTGACCACAGTAATATTCCATCTGAAATACCAGCCTCCCAACTGTACACCCTCTACTACTATTAACTTACCTTCTGAAGGATTTTCCATACTTTTTGATAGAACCCTACAGGAACTCTGTTAATGGCACCATCAAGCCTTCTTCTGCGGAGCCATTGCCCTTGGCGATCACCCCAGCTGATGTCGTTTCCAGTAGACCCTCTAGGAGATGAAGTCCTAGTGGGAGATGATGGAATACTGCCCCTCTGCAAGAGACAGACCATTTAGTAACTACAACATGTTAACATGAGAGCACCCACTCTTGCATGTTACACCACTCTGTTACAGTTTCAATTCAATGCAGTTTTTAGTGAATATTGACTGATTTCTTTTGAAGACGTTGACAGGATAAGGTAAACGTTTTTCTTTCACAACAAATCTCTTCACATTTTACTTATTTGCCTCAATTTCAAAATGAACCAATGAGCAGTCAGCAAAACAAAATCAGCTTGACGTTGCAGCTTCATCTGACCCAATTAATAAAGTGAGCTTAGAAAAGTTTTCTATCATGGTTGGGGTGGGAGGAGGGGATGTCTTTACTTGACAGAGCAACCACACAGACTGAATCCTAATTCTAAGTGGCACTGCTGTTAAAGTACTTAAACTTGGGAACAAATGCCTCACTTCTGACTTGGCAGCACCCGGCTATTTTCCCCTTGCTCTCCCATTCAAAAACTAAACAGGCTGGACTCTCCTTAGCTTGAGATCAAAATATATATTGGGGATTTGGCTAGAGATAAACTTTAGTGCTAAAAGTAGTAGGAAGGAATTGTAACTTTTTTGTAAATATGTTGTAAGCTCAATGGTGTTTTTAAGGTATACTATGAAAAGGGCACAGGCATGCAAAAATGGTTAAACTAAACAGAACAGATTAGTAGATTTGTTTGCTCACACTGCATAGTATATGTGTATGGAGAGGGATCCAGCCATCCATGGTCAAGGGATGATTGTTAATCTGTCCATTTGACAAATATCTGGATTGCTTCTCTGCCCCCTCTAGTGCAGTATATGGGACAACTATCCCAACTTGGACTTTTTCCAGTTTCCTGATACCCAAATACAGATTTCTTTTGCGGCTATCTGCTAGAGGTAGGCAAAGGAATGCTCTCATACCCCATTGAGGAGACCTTCCATTGGACCATCTCAGTAATCCCTGGGAGACATAAGGAGCATAAATGGCATTTCCCCCATCAGACCTTTCCTGGAATTTTAAAAATTCGACTGGTCTTGCCAGCTGAGTGTATAACTTCCTTGAACAGGAGTTTATTTGGTTTGTGGAACTTACCAGCTCTGCCAAGCATGTCTGCAGACCTTATAAATTCTTTGCACCACAGCCTTTGGTGTGAAAGCGATTACAGGATCTGCAGTTGTGTTTTAAGACAAATGATGGGTCCGTAATTTCAGGAAGGCACTTTTGCAAGAAGCTACAGGGGTCAGAATCTACCTTGTAGAAATGATAATTGAAGATATAAGATATTACAGGGGTCGGCAACGTTTGGCACACGGCTCGCCAGGGTAAGCACCCTGGCAGGCGAGGCCAGTTTATTTACCTGCTGACGCGGCAGGTTCGGCCGATCGCAGCCCCCACTGGCCGCGGTTCACCGTCCTGGGCCAATGGGGGCGGCGGGAAGCCGTGGGCCAGCACATCCCTTGCCCGCGCCACTTCCCGCCGCCCCCATTGGCCCGGGACAGCGAACCGCGGCCAGTGGGGGCCGCGATCGGCCGAACCTGCTGCGTCAGCAGGTAAATAAACTGGCCCGGCCCGCCAGGGTGCTTACCCTGGCAAGCCGCATGCCAAACGTTGCCGACCCCTGAGATATTATATCTCTCCACATGTCAGACTTGTATCCTGAATGCTGTCATTATTGCTCTTGATTTCACTGTTATTTACTCTTTCAGGCTTGATCATGAGCAAACTGGGCAAACAGATTACTGCTCTTTGTTATCTGTAAAGTTGGGGTACCATCATTAAATTCTTATTTCCAGGGTCAGTGGAAATCACATGTGTTCTGCATTAGAAGCCCTCATTCCTTCTTGCATAAGAATGGCTCTGGCATTCTTCAGCAGCCAGTCCACAGCCTGGGGAAGCAAAAGCCACCCATTTAAAGGAATGCACTGCAAAGGGCATCATAGGTTGAGAGAGACAAGGGCCCATATTTTGATACATGGGACTACTCAATAAATCACACATACACTATCAGTAGATGAAAGCCAGTGCTGTCATACGGGTATGGCATTTAGGCCAAGTAAACCACCACCTTTGCTCTCTATCTGATTATTTTCCCATAGCATTTTCCTTCTTTTAGCCTCTCTATGGCCAGCACGGGTAGCTTGCTTTCCTGGCATTAGGTGGTCAAAGCTCAGAGTGGTCCTGGTAACAGTGCCATCATATTGCGATACACATGGGAACTGTTCACACTTGTGCCCAATTCTGTACAGCTTGGAATCAGATTATTTTAGTACTTGTGGCAGCCCTTCACACCAGTACATTTGTGTACTATTCTGCCGAACACCACAGCGGGGGAAACACACAAAACACCACAGCAGTAAACATGCTAACACCACAAAGCAGCGTGTACTAGTGAATTGGAAATCAAATAGTGAAGACACGTAGGTAGGTAATATTGAGGGGCTATTGTTTCCATGCACTGTGTGTTGTAACGAGCCATGTTGCTGTTTGTACTTGTTCCCCAAAGTTCGTACACAGAGCTGCCCCCTAGCTGGAAGCACCACCCCCTTTTTGTTAGTCCGTGTGGCTGTTACTTCCACCTCCTCTGCTCAACTGTCACATTCTAACTGCCATAGAACCTTTGGATGCCAACATTCCATCTTGTTCTCATGGAACCCAGTGGGGATTGAACCTAGTGACATTCTAAACAACAGCTCTCAATCCTGCTTGTAGTTTCTTCCATCGCTTCACACTGACTCAGCCTTGCAATCCTGGAATCTTCTTATAATACAGGAATCATTCAATCCTCCTAAACTATAGGACTCCTGGGCAATGTTCCCATCTTCCTCGGATTTTTACAGAGGAGCAAGCGTCTCTCCCCTTGCTTACAAATATCCTTTGTGGTACTCAATCTGGGGGTTGGGGCCCTAGAGGGTATCCCCTTGTCTTAAAGGGGGAATCAAAGTAACAATAGCAGTCCCTCCCATTTTTTGGGAAGGAAGAAGCAACTTTTCATAGCTGGGCTCCTGCTGCTAGACCAAGAGAGCTGATTTATACTGTATCTGTTGGTGCTTACACAAACATTTTCAAGTCAACCAACTGGACAAATGAGCCTGTTAGAGCAAAAGACAATTATGTAAAATCTAAGTTTAATGACTTGAAAGACATCTTTATATTTCAGAGGACTTTCCTTTTGGAAATACTTAAGAGGCAGGGTCTGATCCATGACCAGAACAGCGTGCATAGATTAAAATGGGATTTCTTGCCTAGTGTGGACAACTTCCACAGTTCATCTGTTTAAACACTCTCAGGGCTAAATTGGTGCCTTTTAGCAAACAGTGGTGATTGGGAGTGGTGCAGAGACTATTGCAAGAGTTTCTGAATGTATTGTGCCCAAAAAAGAGCATAGAGTGACTATGCTATGTGATGCACATGCATATAACCAGCTTTGTTGTCATGTGCAAAGAGGAAAGAGTCTTGCACTAGCTGTGGCTCTAGACTTGCATAAACCTTCCAGTGAACTGGATTGTGCCCAGTTCTGTATTAAGGTAGGAAAGGCTCCTTGCCCACTCTTGCACACCCATGCAGGGCCAGGCATAACTGCGCCTGGAGTACTGCCTAGAGAGGAGCTCACTGACAGCCTGATCCCACCAGTCCTTTCTCAAAGGAAACTGCTACTGAAGATTGTGGAAGTTTAGCCAGGGTAAGGTCTGCAGGATCAGAATGCTAGAAAACTACAGACGTGAATTCTAAAACATGATATACCTACTCAATGGCTTTTCCTTTTAATGCAAAAAAAACCAAACCAGCTTACCTTTGCTGGTTTGATGCAGTATGTTCATTTTCTTTGTACAGCATCCTGACTGATGCACAGTCAAGCTTTCTTTCTCCAATTCAGCAGAGATGACATTTAAGTAATGAAGGAGTTCAGCAGGAGTGCCAGTGCTGAAGTAATTACTGTGTGCATAGACACTTCTTTCATTTGTCCCTGTTTTGGCTAAGCAGTTTATCCAGATCTCATTTAATAACTCACTACATTTGAATCAAGTGCACTGAGAATATGGGCCAAATTCTGTCCCTCTTTGCATTGGTGCAGAAGGACTGAAAAGTAACACACCTACTGTGCAGGAACCAGGCAGGCCAGGGAGAAACCACAAAGAGGTACACGGCTTGTGTAAGAAAAGTGTTTTGAGATGGTACATTGTACAATATCCATGGGGTTTGGGAGGCGTAACATGCACTGTGGGTCTGTGTACACATGGATCCGCTGGCCAAAACCACAAGGGGTGGGTGAGTGTGGGAGTAATAGAGTTTACTGTCCCTTTAAGACACTGAAGGGACGCTTCCAGGTCCAGCATTGCCCAGTTTCAGGTTTCTGCTGTCCACTGCGGCATGATGAGAATTTGAGGGCCTGAAGCAGAGAGGGCATCTGGGAACTACAGGTTACTAGAGCAAGGCATGGTGGGAAGGGGACAAGAGCTCCCTTCTCTCAAGAGTGAGATCCTAGTTGGAGCAGAAGTTGCTGAAGATCTCTCCATTAAAGGCCTTGAAGAAAGATGGCTGGCTGGAGAAGAAATTCACACTAGTAAAAGCCCTGGGTTTAAATTCATCTTCCTGTACTGGACCAGGATTTGGACCAGTAATCTTTGTCAATATTCAGAATGGGTGATATTTATCCCTGTCCACAGTGGCCAGCCCAAATCCTATGTACCATTTAACCTCCCAGGTCGTAAATGGTGCCTACATCTGGTGCAAACCCACTGAAAAGGGATGTATTGCACCCAGCGTGTACAGCACTTGGTTCAAAGTGCAGCAAGTTATTAAGGCTAGTTGGTCATATTTGACAATTATTTGGAAATGAAGAAAGAAAAAATTCTATTTTTTGAGTATTAAAACAAACTAAAGCTCTTGCAAAGTTATCCTTGAGGATATGAATTAGGAGCCCATAAAAGTGAAACCTTTCAGCTACTAATATTGAAGATTTTAACTGTACTCGACCAGGGATGCTGGAAAAAATTGTATAGTGGAGATGCTGAGAGATGTTGATCCAAACTGTAAACCCTGTACAACATGATGGAAACCACTTCAAGCCAGGAGGTGTGGCAGCACCCCCAGCACCCCTAGTTCCAGCACCTATGTACTCACCTTCACAGTGAAGCCAATTGGTCTTTGGGTGCAGTACAGGTAGGCCCTATGTTAATTGTTATCCTACCATCTAAGATAGCTAACATTGGACATTTGTCATTTTACTTGTATGGCTATTTGTCTATGCAGACTGGGAGAGTTTGGGAGTGAAGGAGCAGCTGACACAATGAATTAATATGCTTTAGCCTTCAGATGAAAAGGCAGGCCTAATTTCAAACTCTTATTTAGATCAAGAAGAAAAAGTGAATTTGAAGGGAATTTCATCCAAAGTCCCTAGTAGACAAAATTACTCCTCAGTTTTATCCCAACAGGGGTGGAATAGAAGGGTAAGATATTACAATATGTGGAAACTGGCCCACACTTTGCTCTAACCAGTACTATTATCTCTTTCCTCCTATGAATTCAAAATTTATATAACTAAAAACCCCCTGAGAATAAATTGGGTTAAACTTATATTTCCACATTACCATTAAATGTTCAGGGCTGCACAGGATTTAGCCACGCAGCTCCTAGTCAAGTAGCTAAATCCATCATAACACTGAAAATTTAGAAGAATGTGGAAAATAAGATTTCTGTTATAAAAGACCAAAAATAAGAACTGGCTCTCCATGAAGGTGAATGAAACAAAAAGCTAGGGTTTAAAAAAAAACACATACATTACACAAAAGAAAAGCTGCAAGTTATGTTTAGACTCCCTGCAGAGGGAGAAAAGAAACAGACTGCAAATTTCTGAATGGTATTTTACCGTGAACCTGGAAGCATGCATGCTGCTGGACATGGAATGGCCCCCATAAAAGAACTACAAAACAGAAATAAAAAAAAGTCAGTCAGTCATGACAAGACAAACAAGATGAAGTGACACATGCATGAAAAGGAACAAATGTGCAATAAAAATTAAACTCATTTACTTAAGATAGAACCATTCTTTGGGTCAAAATGGGCTCTCACACTGGTACAATTTCATTGAAATCAGGGAAGTTACTCCTGATTTACATTAAAGTGAAATCACAATTAGACCCTTTATGTTTAAGGATCTTCAGAGTTTTACATTAATCTCTTACTATGCTATCACAAGCTTTCCACAGAATCTACCTCAGATAGCACGAAGACATAAAAACCCAAATGAGATTAAAAAAGAATGCAGCTGCATCCACACGCTGCATGGTCGATATTGCAAGCTTACATTTTCTCTTCAGCATCCCTTACCTTATATTAGTGCTAGAAAGAAAGTTATACCATGCTATCAAATCATGCAGGTTGCTAGCCAGGCCGGTAATGCTTAGCAAAACTACTGAGGCAGTTTTCCAAGAGAAATGATTAGATGCTGGTTAGCACCTAAGGGTATTCTTAATAGCTTTCTTTTTGATTAAACAATAATGATTCAGATAAGCTGTAAAAGTACTGGGACTGATTTTCAGAAGTATGGAACACCCAAAGAAATCAATAATTGGAGCTGGAGGTGCTAAGCACATTTGAAAATCAGCTCCAATATAGAAACAGTCTAAGGTCAAAACAATCAAAATGTTCACCGTCAAACTGATGTCTTTAAGAGTTGGGTTTTTCCCCCCGATACAAAAGGTTGAATATTCCTGATGGCTCAACAAAACCTACTGGGAATCAACATGAATGGAAAAAGGTCAACTCTCCTCAGCAGGAAAGAAGCCACTCAACTCCTTTTCTGTGCAGAAATGGCACCTCTCCTTCTAAAGTGACAAATCTCAGGAAACATTTTCCCACCTTTAAATTTCTACAGAAAGTTGCAACTGTGCTACATCTCTATGTAGAACAATATAATGCTGCCATCTAATGGCCAGGCAGGACATTATAATGTGTTCTCTACTTGAAAGGAAATTAACTCAGATATTCACAACTTGCCATGTGACTGATATCCACACTCTAAATTTGATATAAATTGCTAGACCTCTGGAGAGACTGGAACATAGGTCATTCTGCTCACAACAACAAACTAGCAGCAGTAGCATAGGCAAAACTGCACCATATTAATTAGATCATTGAATGTTAAAGTGTTTTGTATTCACAGCGTACAAAAAGCCTCTTAGTTCCCTTAGTTCTAGGACAAGTGTACATAATTCAGTAGTGAGGGAGGAAAACATGCATTCTTATGAACATATAGATTTATTTCACCTTTTCATCAGCAGATGACCTCCTATTCATCTGGAATCAAAAATTAGTTATGCAATTAATTTAAACAAATGTACAAAAATAACCTAAAACAGTTTAAAAACAATCTGGTTTGTGTTCTCTATTGTATCTTCCCATATGCTCACTTGCTGCATGAGAAAATGTATTAGCAAAAAGAGTCCCAGTGGTCTCACTGGATAGTGACTCTTGTCCCTCCTACGCAGAAACACATGAAAAATGGATCTAAGATTTCTTTTCTGAGTGTATCTTTACATCTGCATGGAGGGACTCGGGGGGTGGGGTGGGGGGGGGAGGCGAGGGAGGAGAGTAAAGATCCCTGCTTGCAGATCTCAATGCAGGATGAGGCTATACTCAGAAATTAAATCAGGACTTATTTATTTAGGCCAAATCATTAGACAAATTTGTTTTGGTTTAAGAATTACATTTACATGCCAAAGTAAATAAGAATTGAATGTGCTGTTCCCAGAAAAGATGTTTGCATCTAGTAATCTGTATAGAAAAACTCCTCCAGCTGTCTTGGTATCTTATTTATACAGTACATATCTTACTGCATTAATGGGGAGGTAGCTCACCAATCCCTCTGCCTACTGAGATAAGAAAACGCCTCTTTGTTTGCCTTCCAACCTACCATTTGCTAAAGTAAACAGAGTTCTTTACCTGAGACATTCTTTACCTGAGACATTAAAGATTTGTATGCCAGAAAAAACAGAGGTGTAAAATACAAGCATGAATACTGTTTGAGCCAAATCTTTACTTTGATGCAAATGGAATCTTTACCTAAGAAAGAATGATGGGAACTTGGTCTGTCAGGTGCCCTTAATGCTTCAAACCAGGAGCTGGTTGAAATGTGCTAATTTAAGAATTTTAAATTAAAACCAAAAAGGAAAATGGTTTTGAAAATTGATTTCCTTACCTCCCGCCCCCCCCTTTTTTTTCAAACAGCCACTACTACTTCAAATAATAAAACAGATAGGAAAAGTTTGCAATTTACCATGAATGTAATAGGGGCTAGATAAAACAAAACAAAAAAAGTTTTGTCTCCTGAGTTTAAAAAATGACTTTCATAAATCCTGTGCTGCTTAAAGAATGCACAGAAAAGGAGATCCTCCCACCTGTTGCATTTCACTCTTCAGTCTAGTAATGCCACTTCTTTCTGTTTTAGTTGCTCCAGTGTGCCCCACTTCATGAATAGAAATTGCAGGGCTGGAGGTAGAGGAATCTAGAGGCCGCACTAAAGAAAGAAACAAGGAAGTTTTCTAGATTAAACGTAGCTATGTTTAAGTAATAATAAGAATACAACTTAAAACTGTATGTAAAAATTAAAGGAAAAACACCTTGTATCTCAGGACTATGCACTTTCCATGATATCTCTTTACTTCCAATAAGATTAAAAGCATAAGTCAAACTTTCAAATCAGAATGGCCTAAAGTTAGGTTTCTAAATCCATATTTAGACATTTAAATATTTTTGGCCCAATTTTCAAAGCTAGTGGGAATCTGCAGCTCCCAATGTCTTCAGTGGGGTTTTTTGAGTGCTCAACCCTTCCAAATATTTTGGCCTAAATATGGATTTAGGAGCCAGGAATTCCTGGGAACTATCGATATGTCCATTGAAGTTTAGACAGGCCAGATGTTTTTGTTCTCAATATCCTTCAACCCTGGTCACATTAGATATTCTCATTTTAAAAGTCTGTCTGCGTATCACTGAGAACTTGACATGGCCTAACTTTAGTGCACAATGTTTTCTGTATTCATGAATATTTTAAAACAATTTGATGTGCAGTTACTTAACATGATTTGCAGAGCTGTGAAAGGATGAACCTTCAAAAATGGTCGTTAGGTAGGACGGAGACAGAGCTCTGCTTTGTCAATGTCCATTACATGCCCAGAACAAATGATGGAAACACTATAGCATCTAGCATCTATAAATATTTGCCATTCACAAGCATTTTCACCAGCTCCCAGTTTCAGACCCACATCTATGTTTTAAGTTTAATAATGAGCCTTAATTATCATCTAACTGTGTGCACATAAGTGAAATCAACCAACACTAAACATTGTATCAGACCTTATGTAGGAGCTTCTCATTTTTGTGCACCTACACAGAGACCAGACACAACCCTAGTCCTTGTGCTCAGAGTGATCCTGGCTAGTCCTGACAGCAACCCTAGCCTACCCTAAACAGGTGGAGGGGAGAGGGCCATTCCCCTCCTCATCTTTTAACATCCTGCACAGGTGGGTCTATACTGAGTGGGGAGCACATACTGTGCCCTGTAAAAGGGTGTAAGGCAGGAGTTGCTCTGGCTCACACTTCCAGATGTTCATTCATTTACACCAGCTGGGAATCTGGCCTTCCATGCCTAAATCTAATACAATGTCTCCCAAAGCTCCCACTGAGACACCATGCATCTGTCCCCCGCACAACAACGTGGCAGGGGCTGTATGACCACACCAAAGCCCAATCCTAGAACAGTTTACAGTTTAAGGATTATTCTGCATTCAAAAATGAAGAGATGACAGAACAATGAAACTATCTCTGCCATGATAAAGTACGTCACCTGGCTGATACACATGTTGAGGGGCAAGATAGGTTATAAACAGACCACTCTTTGTACATATAAAAATGCTTGATGCAATCTCACTACAATTCTTACTCCATCCCTCCTGTCTGGAAAGATCACATATTTCCACAGATGTGTCCAAAAATGATTACATGGTTTTACAATATTGCTATATTAAAAATTCTATAGTTCAAAATAATACTTGGGGTACTGAAAATAACAGGCATGTTTGTTTTTGGATATTAAATCCTTGTGTTTCATACATAATCGGGATCTCTGCAGCAAACATTTCTAAAGAGGAGACTGCTGCTTATAAAACTTAAAATAAACTCTGCATCTAAATAGCTCTTGCTCAATATATACATGCACAAGTTAGAATACATTCAAGCAACCAAATAGACAACTTACTGCTTCTTTCAACGCCAAACTCTTTCCCACTCAAAATATGGTGCAGGAGATTTTTCATATCAAAGGGGCTTAGATTCATTAAACTTTCTGAGGCTTCTTCACCTAGTGAAAAAATACTATACTAGGTCATTCATACTGTAGTTTTTCTAGGAAAACAGGGTTAATTCCTAGTTATGGTCTGTTATTAATACTTGCTTATTTTTTTTTTAAAAAAAGCAAAAAGTAGTTGACAAACCCTAAAGAGGTAATCTTCATAAAAGGAACCCTAATTATTATTTGTACTAGGGTTTGGGCAAAACCTCATAGAAGCTAGTGGGTATAACAGCTATCCTTCATCAGGATAGATGTAAGAAAAAGTTAAGGCTCCTTTATGAAAGAAAATAGCTGAAACAATAGGAGCCACCACCCAAAACACAGGCCACATTCAAGGCTGCTGGTCAGGAATCTGAACTATGTGGACAGAGGAATTTTCCTGAGGATTGATTGCAAATGCATAGGACTGGATATTTTTATTGTTGATGGAGCTGTCCGTGTAAGAGACAGAAGCAGGAGAAACACCACAGAAGCAGCCAGAGAAGGCCAGAGAAACATTCGTAGCATGACCCCAAGAAAAAGTTAAGTGAGAGAAAGCTTTTGGGCAGAGTGCTGGCTGGAAAGAGGCTTGGAACATTGAGCAAAGAAACTATCTCCTGCTTTTCCATTCTTACTGTGTTCTGGGAAACAGGACTTTGTATATTTTTTGTAAACAAACAGGATTGTATAAAAAAAAAATCCTAACTCCATCATCAGTTTCTCTTCCTAATAGAAATAACCCACAAGTTCCCAAATACAGGCTAAGTATAATACTGGGTCACAAGACGTAATTTTTTTTTTAAATCAGTGTGCTCCAGTTTGCCAGGGAGGGTAGCAAGGTCTCTGACTTCATGCCCAGGAGATAGAAAAACTGGGAAGCCTACCAGCTGCTGCTGACTGGAAGCTTCCCACACAGGATTCACTTAGTGGGCCACAGACACTGAGACCACCTAGGACACAGAAATCTGGGCGGACCCTATGTCCACTCAGTATCAGCATCAAGATTTGACTATGATTTGGTACCAATTAACTCTTATCACTTCTGATAATTGCTCCTACTGCTACACAGGACTATAACACCTTTAAATTTTACTGTTGGGCAACTCTTTCAATTGTTCATGGATTTCCCTTTAGCTTCACTGCTTCCTCCTGTGATGAACTTCGAAGCTGTATTAGCTATGCAGTGTACAGCTCATGTATTTAATTCCCATTTGCAGTAGGATATGAGTAACAGGTGAGAATAGGTCTTATATATCCCCTTTGGGAGGTCAGGGAAATAAAATTAAAGAGAAAATATGTCAATATTCAGAAATTTAGATACTAACTCTACCACAGCCAAGCATATGTAGGACTGCAGCATGTGTGTGTGGGGAGGGGGGTGGGAGAGAAATCTAGGGGAAGGCTGAATGCCTCTAACTTTGTAATTGATATAAAGTCACTTCAAGTAGAAATTCCAAAAGCATCTAAAGCTATGTCTATACATACAGCGCTGCAATGGCGCAGCTGCACCGGCACAGCTGCACCACTGCCTGTGTGGTGAAGACACTCTATGCCAATGGGAGAGAGTTTTCCCGTCACCATAAAAAACCCACCTCCATGAGCGACGACATAGCACTGTCCACACAAGCGCTTATGTTGGTGTAACTTAATTCACACCGCTGAATGACACAAATTTTGCTGATATAGCCTATGTCTACACTACAGCCTAAATTTCATTGAAAGTCAGGGTGTGTCTACATTACAAGTGCTACGGCTACATCACTGTAGTGCTTTTGGGTAGACACTTATTACAGCTACAGAAAGTAATAAATCCACCCCCTTAAGATGTGGTAGCCAGGTCAATGGAAGAATTCTTCTGTTGACCTAGTGGTGTCTACGGTGGGGTTAGATTGGCCTAACTAATTAGCACAGGGCATTAAATTTTTTACAGCCCTGAGCAATTTAGATTGGTCAACCTAAGTTTTAGTTTTCAGAGTAGCAGCCGTGTTAGTCTGTATCCGCAAAAAGAACAGGAGTACTTGTGGCACCTTAGAGACTAACAAATTTATTTGAGCATAAGCTTTCGTGGGCTACAGCCCACTTCATCGGATGCATAGAATGGAACACACAGAAAGAAGATATTTATACATACAGAGAACATGGTATGGCTACTTCCACCTTTTCAACTGTAAGAGGCCAATCAATTGAGATGAGCTATCATCAGCAGGAGAGAGAAAACAACAACCTTTGAAGTGATAATCGAGATGACCCATAGAAGGTGTGAGGATATTTTAACATGGGGAAATAGATTCAATTAGTGTAATGACCCAACCATTCCCAGTCTCTGTTCAAACCTAAGTTAATTGTATCTAATTTGCATATTAATTCAAGTTCAGCAGTCTCTCTTTGGAGTCTGTTTTTGAAGTTTTTTTGTTGCAAAATTGCCACCTTCAAGTCTGTCACTGGGTGGTTAGAGAGGTTGAAGTGTTCTCCCACTGGTTTTTGAATGTTATGATTCCTGATATCAGATTTGTGTCCATTTATTCTTTTGCGTAGAGATTGTCCGGTTTGGCCAATGTATATGGCAGAGGGGCATTGCTGGCACATGATGGCATATATCATGTTGGTAGATGTGCAGGTGAACGAACCCCTGATGGCGTGGCTGATGTGATTAGGTCCTATGATGGTGTCACTAATAAGTGCTAATAAGTGATGGTCACATAAACACCACCCTATACCGGAAACCTACTGACTGCTATACTTACCTGCATGCCTCCAGCTTCCATCCAGGACACACCACATGATCCATTGTCTACAGCCAAGCTCTAAGATACAACCACATTTGCTCCAATCCCTCAGACAGAGACAAACACCTACAAGATCGCTATCAAGCATTCTTAAAATACAATACCCACCTGCTGAAGTGAAAAAACAGATTGACAGAGCCAGAAGAGTACCCAGAAGTCACCCACTACAGGACAGGCCCAACAAAGAAAATAACAGAACGCCACTAGCCGTCACCTTCAGCCCCCAACTAAAACCTCTCCAGCGCATCATCAAAGATCTACAACCTATCCTGAAAGATGATCCCTCACTCTCACAGATCTTGGGAGACAGACCAGTCCTCGCTTACAGACAGCCCCCCAATCTGAAGCAAATACTCACCAGCAACCGCACACCATACAACATAAACACTAACCCAGGAACCTATCCTTGCAACAAAGCCCGATGCCAACTCTGTCCACATATCTATTCAAGTGACACCATCATAGGACCTAATCACATCAGCCACGCCATCAAGGACTCGTTCACCTGCACATCTACCAACGTGATATATGCCATCATGTGCCAGCAATGCCCCTCTGCCATATACATTGGCCAAACCAGACAGTTCTTCTACGCAAAAGAATAAATGGACACAAATCTGACATCAGGAATCATAACATTCAAAAACCAGTGGGAGAACACTTCAACCTCTCTAACCCTCAGACACAGACTTGAAGGTGGCAATTTTGCAACAAAAAACTTCAAAAACAGACTCCAAAGAGAGACTGCTGAACTTGAATTAATATGCAAATTAGATACAATTAACTTAGGTTTGAACAGAGACTGGGAATGGTTGGGTCATTACACTAATTGAATCTATTTCCCCATGTTAAAATATCCTCACACCTTCTATGGGTCATCTCGATTATCATTTCAAAGGTTGTTTTTTTCTCTCTCCTGCTAATGATAGCTCATCTCAATTGATTGGCCTCTTACAGTTGGTATGGATACTCCCACCTTTTCATGTTCTCTGTATGTATAAATATCTTCTTTCTGTGTGTTCCATTCTATGCATCCGATGAAGTGGGCTGTAGCCCACGAAAGCTTATGCTCAAGTAAATTTGTTAGTCTCTAAGGTGCCACAAGTTCTCCTGTTCTTTTTAAGTTTTAGTTGTAGACCAGGCCTCAGTGCGACTTAGTCAGGGCAGCCTAAGGGCTTGACTACACAGCCCAGCAGTTCGGACTTCGGGGTGTGTGAACTGCAGCGCACACTAGTGTACTGTGCTGTAACTCCCCCGCCCCCCATGTGGACACTGCAGGCATGAACTAAAACATATCTAGTTCATGTTAACATAGCCCTCATTAAACAGGATTAAGTTAACACACACTAGGAACCTTTTAGTTTGTGCCTGCACCATCCACATGGGGGAGTTACAGCATAGCACACTAGTGTGCGCTGCAATTCACACCCCCATAGTCTGTACTGCGGGACAATGTACACGTCTAAATAGCTAGGACACTTTTTAAAAGGAGTGTGGGTATTTCTTTATGTCAAAAGGATGCTAGGAATGCAGATTATTTTCAAAGTTTGTAACTGTGTGTGTTGGATAAAGGATTTAATTAAAAAACAGATTGTGTTTAAGCTGAGCTGTCCTGGGAAAATAAAAGCTAAAAACCACACACACAAAATTGGGAGTCTGCTTAAAAATAGAATTATTGTATTAGGATTTTTAAAGCCCCCCCCCCCCCCCAGAATGTCTCTTTACGGTGTTTATTGAAGGGAGAATTTTGATAGAGATATTTTAAGAAAAGGGCCATGTTAAAAATAAGCAAATTATTTATCTTGTCCTATGTAACTGAAATGTTGATCATTGGGGGCGGGGAGAGGAGAGAGATTTGTTTACTACAGTATTACAGTACAATTGGACTTACCTGAACAGTTCAAACTGCGAAGCAGCTCAGTAGCCATCACCTGAATTATTAGTCCAATGCGGAGTCTGAGCATCTCTGCAAAAAGGCTGGGCTGTGACCTGACGTACATAGCCAAATACACCACTATCTCCTGGCATGAGCAAATGAACAAAGGATATCTATTCAGGGGCATTCATCATAACTCTGGCCAGCACCAGACAACACAAGAAACAGAAGGTACAGCATGAAAAAACCCCATTCCTTCCACGTGTTTTATACCTGGGTAAGGACTGCAATACTGATGTCTTGCCCACTGGCTTCATAAATAAGCTTTGACAACTCTTCAGGTGGCAGAGGGCTAAGGAAAGTGAACCAGACAGTTAGGAGTGCTTATGATGCTTATTATTTTCTACATGTGTCAATTGTTTGGATTTAGAGGTTTTAATTTGAAGTGTCTAACTTAAAATGCACCAAAACAACTTTGCTTTATAGATCTTACAGACCCGCGATTCCTTCTGAAAATAACAGTTAATAATTTGGAAACTGTAACAAGGGCCTCCTGTTTGCCCTCGCTCTATGGGACCCCTGCGCCCCCAAATCAGCCAGAGACCTCTTCTGGGTGCAATCACCAGTGCCTTTTATTTACAGTGTCAGCTCCCACCGCCTTTTATTCACAGACCACTCCAAACTAGCAACCTGGGGGACAGCTCGCTTCTCCAGCACGCAGGGACGCACAGCCCTTGGCTCCTCCCTTTCCTTTCTCCCCCCTTCGCTTCCTTCCTGCCAGCCCCATAGAGCCCCGCTGGCTAATAAAGCCCACAGGTGCTTCCCTTCTATCAATTAGGCATGGCATACTCAGTCAGCTCCAATTAATGCTTCTTAATTGGATCTGGGCTAACAGGGGGCTGGCTCAGGCTCTCCTGGCCAGCATCCTGTTACAGAAACACTGTATCAGCAGTAGGAACTCTGAAATACAAGACATCCAGACTGAGACAGAGCTAAGACTTACGCGGTAATAGTTTTTTCACGCGGCTCAGGTGGCAGGCCCACTGTAAGTTGCTTGTGGTGTGACAGAAGGTCTGTGCATGCCTATTACAGTACAATAGAGAAAGCAAGAGAGCCCACGCTGTTAAGTTATATGGCAACAATGATAATTTTTTTTTAATTCTAGAAAAAAAAAGCATTTCTTCAGTAATTCCTCAGTGTATTTGCATCTGCTACTAAATGTACAGTTCAGAGGCAGATCCTCAGCTATTGTAGATTAAATGTACATTAATGTAGATTGTCATAGGTCCACTGAAGCCAATGGAGATATGACAATTTCACCTTCAGTGGTGCTAGCTCTGGCCTATGGAGTATTCTAACCCTTCCTATATTATTATGACTTGGTTATTTACAAGATAAAATAGATAAAGTTACAAGAAAACTTCATTGGTGTGTGTGGGTGTGAGAGAGAGAATGTATGTAGTATTACAGCCAGAAAGACTCTGAACAATTGTATCCCTTCAAAAAAAAGATTCTCTGTATGTAATATACTGTCCTATAGTCAGTTTAGACACTTGAATTCATTTCCAAATAGGCACTGCCCTCCCCCACCCCAGTCCTGCTGTATGTTACCTTCTTTATGTTGGTCTTAGTGCAAAGATAGGACTGGTGTTTAGTTTAACAGCTATAAGCCCCTGAATCAAAGCCCATTGAGAGCAGAGCAATGTTTCCCAACCCCCCTGAGAACTAATCATACCCTCATCCTCCCCTGCACTCCATTGTCAGAGTCCTAACATCCTAATTTATAAATTTTTCAATGCCCCATGCCCAGCTAGCCCTTCGTGGCCCCTCTAGGAAGACAGGAAAAGAACATGCTTCACACTTAGGGAAATGGTGCAGTGCAGTTACAACAAATTGCTCACTGTAGCCTGTGTGTGTGTGATGGTCAAAGCGCTGCAATAGCATTGCACAGGATGAAAAGCAAGCCAAAAAATGGCTAGGAATGATAGCAATATGCAAATCTCAGGAACTTACTGTAACTAAGTATAAGCACGGCAATTGGAGACTTATTTATGACAGCCGAAAGGAAATAATTTTTAATGATCAGGATGAAATCAATGGCCAGGTTTACATTACAAACTTATATCAGTATAACTATGTCGCTCAGGGGTGTGAAAAATCTACACCCTGAGCAACGCAGTTATACCGACCTAACCCCCGGTGTAGACATAGCTACTGCCTCTCACGGAGGTGGATTAACTATGCCGGCAGGAAGATGCTCTCCCATCAGCGTAGTAGCTTCTTTACTAAAGCGCTACAGCAGTGCTGTACATGCAGACAAGCCCAAGGTGTAGACAACGGACTTCTGCCATTTTCCTTAAATAGTTCCAGATGTTTTGTCATTCCTGTATATTTTAATATACTTAGACTTTAGACTGTAAGCTCTTTGGGAAAGGGATCATCCTTTTGTACTGGCCTATGATTTCCCTGCCATTACAGGGGTCTTGGGCACTGGTGCACCTTGCTCTTTCCTATTCTCTGCCTTTGGCACATAGTCTAGTCTCCTGTGGGCTGTAATACTTTGGTCTAATTTTGATTGTTGGGTTTAGTGCATGGGTGCTGATGGCCTATGATGTACAGGAGGTCAGACTAGATGGTCCCTTCTGGCCTTAAACTCTATGACTGGGGCTCCAAGGCACTACGGTAACACAAATAAATAATTATTATATTCAAGACACCTTTTTATTTTTTTAAAAAATCTTCATCTAACCTTCTCCAGTACTGCAGAACCTTTCTAGTCTCACTTCACTAATCTACAACCCTCATGTCTCCAAATAACCAGGCAACCTCACTCAGATTTTACCTTTCTCAGAGAAGTTCAAAGGCAGAGTTTTATTGTAAGGTTTCATGTTACTAAGCCTTCATTGCTGCTCTAAAATATACTACAGCATTCTCTTTGCTTTAACACACTTGATGGAAGGTAAAACCAGAATGGGGTAAACATAGGCCACATTGTAATTTGTGTTTTGAGTGTTAATAGACAAAACTATTTGAGAATATCTGTTTCTGGGGCACACAGGAGGGAAACTGAAGAAATTGGCAACATTTGTGTTTGTTGTACCTCAGCCAGAACTTCCACTCTCTTTTTGAGTATGCCAGAGATGTAACGAATTAACCCCCACTCTTGGTTCTGGCCTGCCTTGCTGTAGAGCTCATTGAGCAGACAATGAATGGTGACTCCATACTGGCCATTCAGCTCTGTATCCCAGTCTGGGCCTCTGCCGGAAGAAAAAGCAGAAATGACAACTTTGGTGCCCAGGAGCAAAGAATGCAGATTTCTAAAGACAATCCATGCAGAGACATGACAGATGGTGAAAGCAGGAAACTGAACCTCCGTATGATCCTGCAAGGTGCCAAGCAGTCTGGCCCTAATCCAACAGATCACTTGGGAAGGAATTTACAAGCACAGAGGGCAATTAGGCATCTATTAGAAGTCAACAGGATTTGGGCACATAAATCTCTTTGGAAACCCCACACTTACATTCTTGCTTAAAGTTAAGCATGTGAGTAGTCTCGCTGAAGTCAACAGAGCGGCTCTCATGCTTGAAGTTAAGGATTTATTTAGATACTTTGTTGGATCAGGAACAAGGTGCTCAGCACCTTGCAGGACAAAGCCAAATAACAATGGCTTTCACCAACAGTGTTGAAGATTGAATTAGTTTCTTCAATGTGTCAAGGGTTTCTCATAGATTTTTTTCATGTTGCCTTTTCTCAAGTTGTTAATCAAACTTTCACACTATACCCTATTAGATTTGACATCTTCTGGGCATCAAAAGAAGGTGGTAATGCTGCTGCTGTTCATCATGGTGAAGATGTTGAAAGAGGTAGTGAGTTTATTTTTGCAACTGTGTTTGGGGTTTGAGAATTCTGCACTCTAGCAGTAGGTCATAGGAATCCAAACACTCTGTAGAAAACTGCTGGAGATTATACAAATTAAATAGTGACATTCTTCTTGGGAAACTACATCTTTCATATTTCTAAACTTCTGGAAGGGGCATGAAGAAGAAGTTCAGATGAACAAAAAGTTTATCTCCTGTGTTCTTAACTCCCTCCAAGAGTATCATGATGGTGAAGAACTTGGCTCCCTGTTGATTATGCTTCATAATATTACCACAGTGCCCCCCCAGCTAATTTTGGTGGGAAGCAGTGCATCAAAGGGGGCTTGCCTTTGGAAAGATGATGTTGCTGTGACATTGGCCCAACACCGTGGAAATGTGGTGGGTTGATATAAAGGGCAAGGGAGAAAAATGAGGCTGCTAGACATATGCTCAGAAAGATCCCAGGGCCAACAAAGGCCCTGCTGTGAGAAGCAAAACACAGAAGTATACAAAAGATCATGTGTGCTATTAAGAAAACCAAGCATTGGGTGAAGTGTCCCCCACCCTTAAGCTAACTCTCTGCCAATATCCTGTAGTGTTTCTTCAACATAAAAAAAAACCAAATTAGTATGTATTAGTAAATACACTCTTACAAAACTGCTGTTGGATTAAATTTGTGTTCTGTTCTCATCAATCCTGTTTAGTTACTGGGCTATTTTACTATGTTTAGCAGCTCCAATTAGACATTCCCAAGAGTGTTTTGAGGATTGTTGGATTTTAGCCATTGGGTCACTTTAACATGCAAGAAACAAAGAAAAATTCATTAAAACTACATTTGCACTCCATTCAGACAAGCGGTACTCTTTTATATACTGAAAAATAACACAACGAAACAATTTTGCACTAAATGTCCACGTGCCTACCTACCTGTGTATAAAAATTCTACCCCAACTTCTTGTGAACTTATTGGTGCACAATAATATTGTATCATGTACTGTATTTTGCGAATATAGAAGACTTACGTATTTGATTTCAGTGAGCTTTGTTCCAGGCTTCAAGTGCCAGTGCATATTTTATGTTAAACAATTCCTCATCAAGTCCTTGTGTTCTTACCTGTCTCACCTAAAATCTGTACATATATGCATTAGTATACTTAAGGTACCTGTAAATATCCCCATAAAAAACAAACTATTAAAGTAGACTGAAATGTTTACAATATCTACGCTTTTGTTTGGGGAACCTGTGATGGAACTTCCAGACAAGCTGAAGAGACAATTCAGAAAACCCTTGATAACTTACTTTATTATATACAAGACGTATAATATATCTGCTTGATCATGTAGAGTTGGGCACTCCTTCAGCTGTTCAACTAACTTCTCACAATCCAAATCACCATGATCATCTTTGGGTAAGTGCAAAACAGCTTCAGAATCCTGATCATCAAAGACAGAAGAGATTTTAAAAAAAAATCCCACCAACAAAAGTATGAAAGAATAAGTAGATGGAACACTAACTCATTAGCTCTGGCTACTCACTGGAGAAGACATAATAATGCACAGTAATACAATTCCTTATTTGAAATTTAGATACACCATGCAGTTTACATCAAGCTACAGTAGAGATGGTGATTAATCCCAGAAAATATAACAGCTAATATGGAACATTCCCAATACAGTCACAAATACTTTTGGTCCAGTGAGTCAGCAGAGATATTATAATACGAGAAAGATTTTTGGCCAAAGAAACTAGAAATTTTGTAACAGCAGGAAACAAACTATTCTCATCTCTCTCCTGTCATGTGTTATTAACTTTATAAATCAGATGTGCATGGGCACTGATCTATTAATTTTTTTAAACTAACAAATTTAGTTGAAATCAAGTAAAAGAAGATTTCCCAACAAGTTCTATTGGTTTCTTCATCTGTACTTCTAAATGGTGCTTTGCAAGTGAAGATATTGCCATTAGCAATTTTCTAAACAACGTATACAATGAATTGGCAGCAAATTAGTTGAGGGAAAATTGTGGTTAGATGAAAGTGATTCTGTTTAATAAACTGTCGGGTGTTGCATGACTAATGCACTCAGGACCATATCCTTTTTCCACGTGCATAAGCGAATATTGGCCTTTGAAGAGAGGAATCCTGCAAGGGGTGGAATCCCATCCTTCCAGGATATGAAACATTTTGCAGCTGACAGTGCACTCTTATAACTGCAGTAGCCTCTGTTGGAGCTATATCTCCAACCTGGTGGGGTTTGGCTGGTAAAGCCACACAGCCACTAGCCATGCCCTGTCCTTTCACAAATCCCCCTCCCCACACACTGCTGTGAATTGAACTTCTTGGAGAACAGCTCAATGGTGGATGGGGAGTGCATATCACACTAAGTTCCCAATATGCTGTCCCTCCATTGCTCTGGTCTTGCGGCCTATCATCCCTATATGGCTATGAAGAGGGTGGGGCAGGATTTGCCTCTAAAAGATAAGTACAAGTTATTTTACTAAGTTTTGCTAATGTAAAAGGAAACATTTCATTCAATAACATACAATTAACTATAATTTCCAAACAAAAACCCCTTTAATGGCCAAAAGTTCATTCCAAATACAATCTTCCAGAACCTGTTGTATAATCATTCCACTAGTTCACCTTCACTTCAAGAAGATGTGGGGAATCAACGAGATTCAGAGATTTCCGGTGAGTGTTCAAAACTTTAGTTGGAAGAGTCATCGAAGCGCCTGAAAAGCAAAACAATCAACATGTAAAGGAAATGCAACATCTAGTAAAAAAATAATACTGAGTGAAAATGTTAGAAACACCTCCAGCAATCAGAATGCAAGAGCCATGCTGTCTGGGACATGGTACACGTAACTTACACACCAAGTTTCACACTCAGGTTTTTATCTTTTCTCATTAAATAGAGACTGATCCAATGTGATTTAATCACATGGTAGCACCCAAAGGCTCAAGCAGAGTCAGTGCCCCATTGTGCTAGATTCTTTACCAACACCCAGTAAAAAAGACTGTCTGTGCGCCAAAGATCTTACAGTCTAATGATGCAATCTAGCACAACACTTAAGAGTGTGATAAACTTTAAGCACAAGAATAGTCCAACTAAGGCAAGTAGCACAACTCATGTACTTAAAGTTAAGGATGTGCTTTACTTGACTGGGACCTAAAATGATAAGACAGGTGAAGACGAATGGCAAACACCTGGTTAATTTCACATTGTTTTTATTATAGTCTCAGGACAGGCTATTTGTGAAGGACAGGGGATAAGGATAACAGGTTTGTACAATACTATTATTTATATAGGGCCTGATCCAAGGTCCAGTGGAGTCTTTCCATTAACTTCAATGGACACTGGATTTCCATATACATTACATGTCTATTTACAGATGGGTTTAGCTGGTAAATTATCTAATAGCCCTTCAATCTATCCATTATTGTTTATAATGCAGCCCTTTTTTCTATTTGTTCTTGTAATTCTGGAGTTTATGTACATTGACTGGCATTTTCTGGTGTTAAAGATGTTTCATTTCCCAATGTCCTTACTAAAAACAAAAGTGGTCAGTCCATTTTAAAACAACACAAATGTAAAAAAACCCAATACATCCAATCACATTGTGGGATCCCATTTCCATTGTCTTTATCTGTCTTTTTTTATTGTAGGTTCCACTCAAAAACAGCACCTGCAAATATGAGTACAAAATAAATTGGGCTAGTTGCAACTGATTTCATATTGTCCATTTAGATTAAATGTTTAAGTTCCATGGCATGTTAATTGCACAGTTACCATGAAATGACATAGGACTATGGGAATAATGAAGCAATCATATTGAAAACAGAGTAACACACTACCTTGTTACTTTCTAGCAACTGCAATTTACTTGTGTCACCAATTGTCAAATTCTGTTATTTACATTTATCACATTTATCATCCAGTAAGAATTAAAAAAACAGAAAACATACATGGAACATCCAAACCCTTTGCCTTGGCCATTATTGACAGTATCTCTCGCATGGAGTGAACAGCACTGAACATATGAGGCTGATTAGCATCCTTTGAAGTTGGAGGCAGGTAGGACTTATGCGCTGTGCTTTGCAGCACATCGTTTATATACTGGTCCAGCTCATCTTGGCTTTCTGGAGAGAGAGAGACAGATAGAAAAGGCTTATTAAAACAAGTGATTGGAAATATTTACATGTGCTTCCTTTTAGAGGCACAGTATCTTTTTTCCACTGAAAAATAACAGAAAGGCAAAAAAGGACAGAGACCAGAGACAACATAGTGAAGGGACACTGTCAACTTGATTTTTTAAAATTGAACAACTTGAAAAAAAATCATGTTTCTAATAGGTTTCTCTTTGAAATAGTATTTCCTGGATTTTTTCCCCTTAAAAAAAAAAAAGAAAAAAAAAAAAGAAAAATAGCAGGGGAGGTGGTTCTCCAGCTGATGTTTAGAAGGGTCTTTTGGCTGGGCCATAGGGCAACATTACCACACATGATCATGCACACACCTAACTTCACTGTCAGTTTTGCTGCTGCTATTACAGGTAAACACCCTCTTATGAGGGCTGGGGAAGAACGTGCGCATGAGCTCCCTTCCCAAAGAAATACATGAGTATTGTCACCCTACTAGTGCCTGAGACACACAGCGACTGACCATCAACTGTCAAATGCACATAAACAGTGAAAATAAAGACCTTTTTTCTCCCCTCTAAATTAGGTATTATAGTAAACTTAGAATTTAATTATAACAACAGGACACACAATACTTCCAAGTTAAAGATTGTTACCTTTGTCAAATAAATCATCTGGATACACTTCTAATTCATATCCACTTTCGGGACTATCACAGCCATCATTAGAATCATCGAACAGTTTTCCGTCACAGTCTGGATCCAGGAAGCTCAGATGCGTATAGAACGAGGTGCTAAGAAAATCTGACAGTTTGCCTAGCTTTACCCTGCGAACAGGAAAACATGTAAGAAAGAATTAACATCTTTCCATTTTTATATTGGATTGTGCTTCATTGGACAACCCTGGAAACCCCTTCAAAATCCACCCAGGCCCACTGTCACATCCACATTTGGTAATTAGGCAATAATTGGTACCAGCAAAGAAACAAAACAATAAATGTGCCCAGTAAATAATCACAGATCTGGTGGATGCTGTTGTAGCTATTATTATTTATTTGTATTATAGTAGTGCTTAGAGGCCCAAATCAAGGTCACAGCCCCATTGTGCAAGGAGCTGTACATACATATAGTAAGAGATAGAATTTTATCTTTTTGGAGCAGGAATGAATTCCCACAGAATGCTACTTGTTTAATGGAAAAAGGTTTAGCACCACTGAGACCATGGGTTCAGCCTCCTTTGACAAAAATTAAAAGCCACAGGTAGAATGTAAAGCTGATTTAAGGCTCCAAGAGATGCCAATAGTGGGAAATTTAGTAGAAAACTAGTGTGGAAATAATAAACAAATAAGCATTATTTTTATTTATAACCTAATGGGAAGGGGGGGGGGAGAGAGAGAGAGAGAGAGAGCGTGTACACACTTATTCATATATATACATATATAATGCACCTTTAATTTCAAAAATTTGATAAGTATTTTAATGAAGATCATTGTTTTTTATACCATGTTTCTGAAAACCCACAAATCTCCAACATCCAATATTGATGCTTAATTAAGATTTAATTTCAAGCCTTGGAAATCTCAAAAGAACAATCTGTTAATAAAAACGATGGATGTTAGATCTGTAGACCTGGTTCTGCTAAGAACTTTACATTGCTGTTATTTGTAGATCCAACTTGTGACTAATTTCCGTGTAACAATTCAGATTGAAATTCACCCTATGGAGAGGGCTAGCACAAGGTCTATGAACCACTCAGATCTTCAAAACACGGGGACTTAAATGGGACTTAATTCAAAGAAACAGTGGAATAATTGCTTTTGGATAGTGACATTACCTTGCCCCTCCAAAATACCCATCGTCTAATTTTCTTATGGTTGCAAGCACTGCTGGATCAATGTCAGAGCCATCATCGACTAGAAAGAAACATGAAAACTGTATTTAGTTTGGGAACAAATGTCTATTTAATATTTTTAAATCACTTGACCATTTTAACATGATCAGTTTACTTGTAAGTAACCAAAATAGTTTTGATTTTAAAATGGATATTGAGTCACTGATTAAGATCCCAATTGTGTTTACATAGCTGTGTGTGATTGAGTCCTTAGCTGAACTGGGGACTAGTTTTAGGGTACGTATACACTACAAGATTAATTCGAATTTAGATAATTCGAATTTGGGAAACAGATTGTATAAATTCGATTGTGCGCGGCCACACTAAGCACATTAATTCGGTTTTTAACCACATTAATTCGGTGGTGTGCGGCCACACTACCCCATTAATTTTAACCACATTAATTCGGTGGTGTGCGGCCACACTACCCCTAATTCGAATTAACAAAATCGATTTTGGTGCTACTCCGCTTGTCGGGGTGGAGTACAGAAATCGATTTTAAGTGCCCTTTAATTCGAAGTAACTGGCTCCGTTGTGTGGACGGGTTAAGGATTAATTCGGATTAACGCAGCTAAATCCAAATTAAAATCGTAGTGTAGACCAGGCCTAAGTATAGAACTAGAGACAACAGATGGGGGTTAACAGGGAAACAATGAGACAATACTGGTCATCATGATAATTAGTGACCCTAGCACACTGGTGGCCTAGCTGTTGTCAAGTTTTTTGTAGATATCATGGACAAGTTTTAAGGAGGATTTTGAGAAGGATAATGAGGTAGCTTTGTGGATGTTTATGGGAAGCAAACTCCCAAGTCTGCGGAGCAGCATGGGGAAAAGCATGTTTGAAAATTTAACAAATGGGTGGTGGAGGCTGGCATCATGGGCTGATTGGAGGCATGTTGATAGCGTATGAGAGATGATAGGTAGGATAGCCCATGAAAGGCATTGAAAGTGAAGACAAGCCACTTGTGTTTGATGCTATAGAGAAGAGGGCAG